AACAAGGGGGAACAGGCCAAGTTTGGCCAAAATCAAGTTGACGAGCAAAAAATTGGGGAGTATATATTTCAACCCCAGTTTTGGCATTAGTTCCAGTCAAAATATCATGGAACCACTCCCTCCCGGCCAAAAACTGAACCCAAACGAGCAGAGAGGTGCTCGCACTGTCCAGGGTGGATGGGGTTGCACATAATCAGGAGTTAAAAAGGGAGGAAAAGGAAAGAAAGAAGGAATTGAATTTAAAGTACAAAAGAATGAAAAGATATCCCTTCTGGACATATTTACAGGGCTCAGTGGGTCAATAGCTAGCCCATAACAGCTAGCAGAATGAAGGGAAAAGGATAGAGCACCAAGTGATGGAAAATAGGCTCTCAACCACATTTGAGTGAACCAAAGAGGCCCACTGCCAGTGGGAGATACACCATTCTTCAATTGGAATTGGAGAGAAGCCATGCCTCTATAGAGGGCAGCCAAAAAGAAAGAACATAAATTCAGAGGCCTACCACGCGCCAATTCGTGCGCTATGGGTAAATAGCTCATAGAAGGCTTCAGGCTTGGCACACACAGAATATATTTACAAAGTCAAATCTGAAGAGAGGCCACACGCTCAGCATGAGAAGGCTTAGCGCTCGAGTGATTTTAACAGCTTTGCAGGCTCGAATAGGACTCGATGATTTTTTTGTCAAATTTTGGAGCGACACCAGAAATCAAAATACCAGGGAAAATGGTATCGCTCAAAGGTGGCAGATTTATTAAGGCCCCAACATCCCTTAAAGGAATGGACATGGGACTAAGGGGGAAAACAAAAGTATTATATTCAGAGGACCAAAAACTTAAAGCAATAGGGAAAAGCGCTGGATCAAAAGTAGGGGGTTGAAAAGAGATTTCTAACAAATCAGAAATCTAAGCACTATCAAAAATTGCATTGGTAGGACTATGGTTCACAAGGCGAGCATGCCATCTACGGAAAACAATATCAGATTTAGGCCAAGTACGAATACCTCTTTCGCGAAGTGGCCTCAACGGCAAATAGTTTAGAAACGAAGGGCCTTGAGTACAAGGGAACAGGTGGCCCACCGCCACTTGTTCGACGGCCTCGGCGTTGTTGAATGAAGGACCTAGATAGAACTCATTGAGTTCGACATTGGCTGGTGCAAGGAAGTTCGGAGTTATATATGACCGAGGGAGCATTTTCTAGAAGTCTTTGAAACCGAAAGAGTCACCAGATTGAGATTGTGAAGCAGCCATTGGGAATGAAACAAAGTTTTGTTGAAATTTGCTTGAGAAACGTAGTAGAGAAGCAAGAAGATGAACAGTAATATTGCGAGAGAGAAGCGCAAAACAATGAGGCGTGATTTAGTAGTACGATGAAATGACGTGTATTTGGGGGTTATAAGGGTTTGCAACGTCGCGCCTTTTCAGGCTATGGAAGAAAATAATGATTGAAATTCCTGAGAATTTCAAATATTGCTGGGAAACACAAAGTGAATATGACAAAAATTAATAATTGGTATTAATTCTGCCATATTGAGGGGTAATTGTTGACAAGCTAAAAGTGCAGCCCAAATCGAATAGCCCAAAAAATGAAGCCCAACTGAGCAATTCAGGATAAAGGCCCAAATATGGTTATTAATGAATGCAATGGAAGCCCACGAATGCGATAACACCATCGCCCAAACTTGCAAGACGCCCAAAATCTGAGCGAATGAAGTGCCTTGCAGTCGCCTAGGGTTATGACCCTATTCTCGCCCAAACCTTCGAATCGTCCAGAATCTTAGCAAACATAAGATGTTATGGTTATCCAAAAGTACAGTTATCGAAACAGTTATTAAGTAATCTTATCACGTTCCGCGATTCAAAGATGTTCAGTTGAAGACGGTTGAACGACAAAGAGTAGTGGTAGCAGTTAGAGACGGCAATTCCACGATAAGTTGGCCACCATGAAGAAAGTGGGCAGTTATAAAGCAATTAAGCGGTTTCTAAGCGGTTGATCACGAAGAGATCATCAAGGGAATATAAAAGGAAGAAAAGACATAGAACAGGGGGACCTCGAATCAAACACTTTCAAACAGAGAATATGTAATTTCAATTTCTTAGTTTAGACTTAAACATTTCTTTCAGTACTCGTGTGCTTGCGCCCCTTGGAGGCATTATGTTTAAATTTCAATTGTAAAGTCATCGCCAATAAAACACCCATTTTTGGGACTTTGTCTCAAGAGGTTTGTTCTTTACACAATGTCTGATCCCTTTTTAATTGTCAGCGATTACCCGCGCGAAACAGTTTCAATTTTCAGGTAACATACAAAAGAAGCAAACTACGTGAATAAAACCTCTCCGCCTATTCTGCCAAGCCCGGGTTCATGATTTCATCGACGCTGATTAATATTTCTGTTGCTTTCATCCATCCCATGTAGCAACCTTGTGCAATATCAAGGTAACCAACATTATCTCCATCAAAAAAAGGTTTCCCTTTGCTACATCTAACAAAAGCCTCCTCCAACAAGACTAAACCTTCAAATATGTTGTCTATAATTTCCTTTCTTGCCTCCTCTTGTTGATGCTCCTCTAAGCTTCTTGTATGGTGGAAACCACTGGAAATCAACATTTCAAATTTGTCGATGTAGAATTCATTGTGTAACAAAGGTGCCAAACTATACCTCCAAATACAAGCATTCCTCTTTATAGCATTGTCGTTTGTTATGGATTAAGTCATAATTCTAGTTTACAATAACAATAAGGCTATATTTGATAGTCCAAAATTTTTAATGGAAAATGGATAACAAATTTCATTTCCCACTTTTAACTTGTTTGATAGTCAAAATTTTCCCAACAGCTCATTTTCCACATTTCTCTCGCACTTTCAGGTTTTTGGAGAATTCATTTTCTCATGGGGTTGGCGGTTTTATGTTTTCCACCTTTTTTTTTGTTTTTTATTTTATTTTTGGCAATGGAAATAAATTCTAGGAACAATTGTAAAAAATAATATCCCTTAAATTGACAAATTTCATATAAAACAAAGCCAAACGAATATCAAAATATATATTTTTTTGGATTTCTTTTTTGGATAATGAAAACAAATTTTAGGAACAATTGTAAAAGTGGATATCCTTTAAATTGACAAATTTCATTAAAAATAAAGTTAAACGAACACCAAAAAATACTTTTATTTCAACATTTTTTAGGTGGAAAATTATATCAATCAAACACTATTAATTGACAATTTTCAATAAAACAATTTTTAAGTAATTCAATTCCCCAAAATTTGTTTCCTTTCTACCAAAATTTCATTTTTACAATCAAATGGAGCTAAACGGAACAAAACTATAGAAAACATACGTATTTAAAGTATTTTACCCCTAACATGAAAGTTACGTGTACCATTCGCCACCCTATCGCTACTCTTTTTCACTGATGAAGAATATGATTGCAATAATTCTCTTGCACCTAGAAAAATCCTAAATAAACCATAAGAACATTGGTCAAACCGTAGCGGATGCGTAAGTGCACAGTATAGTTGCGACCATTGGACTCCACAAACTTCAGCATCGTTCTTGATTGTAAAATTAAAGAATAAAGGGGAAACTGAACCATACCTTTCGTATTATAGACGAGCTTTATTAGATATATTTTTTTTTTAATCTTTTATTTAACTTTAGCTTATTATTATTTTTTTTAAAAAAATTTCATTTGACAATTAATTTCAAGTTTTTAAAAGATTTTATCTGTACAAAAGTTAAAAATGACTTTTTCTAAATAGCTAAATAATATTTTTAAGTTATGATGTTATTTACATTATGTAATTGTGATCTCGAAACACATTTTATTACAAACTCCAAAAATATGTATGAAGTTCCTATAAATATATTAAGAATGACTTGTATAATTGAAATTATGAAAAATATTCTAATTTTTGCGTTTCAAAAATTTGAAAATTGTATAATTGACTAATAGTAGGAGTTATTAAACCCTTGTTTGAGCCACTTTTTCATCAAAATTTATTCTTCAATAGTGATTTGACCTCATTTCAACCACAAAATTTTCAATAAAATAATATTACACGCAAATTCATGACTTTTCTTTATTTTTAAACCACACATTTTTTCTCAATACGTTATTCAAAAATGTATTTTTTGAGAAGAATGAGGCTCAAATAAGTGCTAAGTAAATATTGTATTTTATAATGTATTATTTTAATTATTAAATAATTTAAAAATAATTAAATTAAAAATATTTTTTTACACCTAAGTTTCGCCTAGGTACACTTAAGCCCCTAAAGCTAGAAACTTTGGCTCCACACCTAATCGCACTTTAAGATTTTTAGAACACTAGACAGTAGTGAGATGTGGTCACAATTGGTGGTTGATTGTGACCAATAAGTTAATTAAAGTTTGATCAATGAATAATATGTGAAAATTTGTTAAGTTGTGACCAATAATTTAATAATTTATAACTTAAAAATAACGTGTGACCAATTCATTTGATATTTCGTGACTATGAAACAAGCTGTGACATATGAAATTCGCGCTTTGTGACTAAAAAAATAATATGTGATATTTTAATTTGATAAATTTTGTAATTTATAAAATTTGTGATTTATAACTAAGACGTTTATAAATGTGATTAAAACATAATTGTGATTATAAATTATATAATATTATGACTTTAATATATTTAATTAATAAAATATATTTTTAAGCAATTATTTTATAAATAAAATTTAATTAATATTTGATTTTTAAAATAGTAAATATTGTTTCTTAATTTTGAAATGGCTCATCAGATATGGAATTTTCTCAATCATCAAATTTTGTATTTTGGACTACAACCAAGCTTAAAGTTTGATCCATTTAAAAGGCCCATCTAATTGCATGCACCAAGCCGCTATCTTACTCCAGATGCGTTGGCTTAGGCAATTCCACAATAAAAGAGTAACCACCAGCTCGCCACCTGTCCCCATTACCCTTTTTTATTTTGACCCGGCGGAGCCACCGAGCGAGAAATTTCCATTATTAAGGCCAAAAATAGACCGTCTCTCTCACGCACAAACACACACCACTGTGTGTTAATATAGAGAGAAATATATAGAAATTGAGAGAATTGCAGGCTTTAATTTCATTTCGAATTCATTTGATTTTCATCTCGCATTCCACTATTTCTTTCTTTAATTTCTGCATACATATATAGATCTTGCGGTTAGGTACATGTGTGTGTATATAATATATACATATAATTTGTAATCATTTCTAGAGAGAGGTGAGTACTGATTCTTGTGAAAATGGAAACGATCTCAAAAGCAGAAAAGAGTGAAAATATGTTAATCAATTTTTGTTAAAATTTTTAAAATTTAGATCTTATCTATTCAGTTTAGAAAATTAGTTTTTATATTTTCTGGATTAAATTTAATTAGTAAATGAAAATCAGATCGAAGCCTTAAAAATAATTTAGAAGGCATAAAGAGAGAATTTTTGTTTAAATTTCTAGAAATTATTGGAAAATGCCGGGGCACGGGGATTTGGACAGGCAAATAGAGCAATTGATGGAGTGCAAGCCGCTGTCAGAGATGGAGGTGAAAACTGTGTGCGATCAGGCGCGGGCGATTCTGGTGGAGGAATGGAATGTGCAGCCGGTGAAATGCCCCGTTACTGTCTGCGGGGACATCCATGGCCAGTTCTATGATCTGATCGAGCTCTTCAGAATAGGCGGCAACGCTCCAGACACCAATTACCTCTTCATGGGAGACTATGTTGGTGAGTTTTTCAGAGCTTTTCCTTGAATTATTTGGCGAAAAAGAGGTTTCCTGTTTTGTGTTTGTTGTATGCTGTCGATCTGGATGCTGGAGTTTTTTACTTGGATAAATATTGGATTTACAATTGAGGTTGTATTGGTGGTGATTTTGAAGGGAGGTTTTGGGAAGATGTGATTACTCATAATCTACTTCCTTTTTTGGATTTTGGTTTTAAGGGAACCGAACTTAGCTATTTAAAGCTGGGTGAACAGGTATTAAATGTATGCTTAAATTGGTTTTTTGAGATCTGCTGCTTGAATTTGGGCCATAACGTGAATGAAATCTAATTTGGCAGCTTTATGTTTAATTCTTCTTTGCTAGGAAATTTGTTATTCAGGTTCTGTGGCACTGCATTTTTTCCTGTTATCGGCTATCTGCATGTGGCCTGAAAATAGGCTTTAGCGATTTATGGTTGTATGTTTATGTACTTTGTCTATTGACCAAGTATTTGGGAATTTTGGGTACAGCAGAGCATAATGTTCCGTTTATGGAGGGAAGGTTTGGTTTATGTTGATTGGCATTCCCTTCTTTTGGAACGACGACTGACTTATAATTGTCGATTTGTGACTTGGCTGCTGCGTAATTGTCTATTTATGATGTGGCTGACACGTTGTTCCAAAGCAAATGATAAGGTGGGAAGTTGATTCGTGTTTTGAGGAAATTATGGGTGAAGACATGTATTCCTGTGAATGCGGCGCGCAGTTCATTTTGGATAATACTTTGAAGGAATGTTAGCTGACTTCATTACAATATGAAATTCTGATTGTTTAGACATTTTGTTTTCCATACAATATCTAATATAAGGTCTAGATGTCAACCATAACTATTATCAGTGGAGTTACATGTATTTTTTCTGCACGTGCTTAGAAACAAGATTTGCTGCTGCTTTTGATTCTCTTTTTTCTGTAAACAGTTAGAGCGTGTTTGATTGGTATGGAAAATATTACCTTGGAAAAGAAAATATTTTTCATCTTTTGTGGAAAATAAAAACCACCTCTACCCAAAAAAAATATTTTTCTTAAAAACAAGGAAAATTAGGCATATTTTTAAAAGTTGGAAAATGTTTTCCATGGAAAAAAATAGCAATCAAACACTCCAAGTAGGAATTTGGGTGGAAAATTGATATTTTTCATGGAAAATAAATGTAATCAAACACACCCTTAGAGATTTAAGGAAATACGCTGCGATAAATGCATTTTTCTATTACCTTCTCCCTAGGAGAAAATGTTCTTTTCCCTATGTCAGAAGATACTATTTTCTCCCCTTTTACCTTTTTGTCTTTTTATTTATTTATTTATTTATTATTATTATTATTATTTTATTTTTTATTTTTTATTTTTATTTTGATTAAAGGTCAGATTGTATGACCCTTAAAGACATAAATAGCAGATTTTATAAATTAAGATTACCTGATTAGCAAAACCAACACCACATCCAAGTAATATCCTGCCAATAATAAGCATAGCAAGATCTTGAGCTGCAGCATTACGAGGAAATCATGAAAGTCGGCAAATCACTCAAGTGTAAGACCCTAATGCTATCTCCATTGTGCTTGTAGTAACAAAGAAGTTTGACATAAATATTTGAAATCAAACCATTGCATAAAGTTTAAAATTATATGTCTTTAGGTTTGCTAATATTCCGATTCATTCACTTATTCGCACCACAGTTACGGTTTCTACGATGAATGCTTGAGGAAGTATGGCAATGCCAATGTGTGGAAGTATTTCACCGATCTTTTTGATTATCTACCACTTACAGCACTTATTGAGAGTCAGGTTTTGATGATAACTCTACAGGTCTTTATAAATTGAGTAGACTAACCTGATTACTTCTGACCCTATATATTGTTTCCTTGTAGGTCTTCTGTTTGCATGGGGGTCTTTCACCATCTCTGGATACCTTGGACAATATCCGAGCTTTGGACCGTATACAAGAGGTAATGAAAATGTTGTCCCTGGGATTATTATGCTTTAAGATTGCTTCTTTTCGTTACTCTATTTCTTTCTCTGGTCAGGCCTTGAGTTTGTCTGCTTAGCTTTAGTGCTATCTTTTTCGATCAATTAAAGAAGATTTAGAATGTTTTATCTTCTTCAATTGTAGCCTTCGGTTGCTTTCTATCACTGATAGAAGTACGCTCTCTCCCATTATATAGGCTTGCATTCAGATGGAATCACTTGCTTATTCAAGCCGCTGCTTGCTCTTAACCTCGTCATGCTTTTGTTCTCTCTATTCATGTATTTTAGCGATTGCGTAATTTGGGTTTGACATTAGAAGTTTGGTGGAATGAGTTTTTTGATGAACAAGATAAATTGGGTTGAATAATTTTGTTCATGAACTCTCCTATCAACATGTTGGTTGGTGAATTGTAGGTTCCACATGAAGGACCAATGTGTGATCTGCTATGGTCTGATCCTGATGACCGATGTGGATGGGGAATATCACCACGTGGGGCTGGCTACACTTTTGGACAAGATATAGCTGCTCAGTTTAACCATACCAATGGCCTCACTCTGATTTCAAGAGCCCATCAGCTTGTTATGGAGGGCTTCAATTGGTCTCAGGTTTGTGAATTTATATCAATCAAATGCACCAGTCTTCCTCTTTCTCAGCTCAAAGGTTGCATTATTGGTCTCCAACCTCTACTGCCCGAGTAACAAGTTGGTCCAAAACCTTTCATTATAGTTGTACAATCAGTCTTTAACAATGGAAACGTCCATATTTTTCGTTAAGTCATCACATGCCCCTCACATGTCCAACTTTATGAAGCTTCATTTTGTTTCCAACTTGGCCCAGATAATTGAACCATGTTTTCACCAGGGGCACGTAATGATTCAATGAAGATGTAGAGTAATTTTGTTGGGGTCTATTTTGCAACTGTGTATGACCAACCAACTTGCTACTCGAACAATGGATTAGGGACCAAAGATACTATATTCTCTACATATAATTAATAATTATCCATCCTATATTGTAGGAGAAGAATGTGGTGACAGTTTTTAGTGCTCCAAACTACTGTTATCGCTGTGGGAACATGGCTGCAATACTTGAAATCGGGGAAAATATGGAGCAGAATTTCCTCCAATTCGACCCAGCTCCTCGGCAGATTGAACCTGACACGACTCGCAAGACTCCGGATTACTTTTTGTGAACCCTACCTTTGCCAGAGCTGTTTGTAGTCCTGTTTGAAGAAGTTACTATGGGGAAGAGTTGCATTTTCTTCTGTTTCGGGTTTGCTCCGCTGCTGTCTTGATTGTGTGATAAAGATATTTGCCCGGGAGCTGAGAAAGGCAGTGTGTCTTTCTTATTGTATATGTTTTTTTCTTGAGAGGAGGGCGGAACGCAAAAAATTACATCGTATATTTGTGTTCTTTAGTTTAAAATTATGGTAGGATGCAGATTTCAGGCAGCCTTATCTCCTTTTTTACACTAGTACTTTAAATTACCTGGATTTAACATTGTGCACTGGGGGAAATGTTCCTGAAAATTTGTAACTTTCGAGTGCCCAGTTGATTGAAAATTGTTGGCCTAGTTAATAGAATTAGGATAAATACATAGACTTCTCAGATTTTTGATAATTTTGCACTCCCTTCAAAAATTACAGATTAGTCTTATTTCAAGTTTAGGCTAACGGTTATTTTCCAATTTTGACACTTGTTTTTCAAAATTAAATAAACCTTAATTATCTCAAGTTTTAAATAATGCATACAATTTAAGTATAATTAATAACGATAGTATATAAAATACTATTACAACCTTCCTCCCTCTCTTTTTTTTTTTTTTTTTTCCCTATGATTTCGTAATCGATGCGTGGCATGTTAATTTACTAAAGCAGTGAATTGTGAATCCCCTTCCACCCCATTTTCCAAGAAACTATATCTTGCCGTTATAGTCAATTAAGTGATTTTAGCCCTTGTAAAAAGAAAAGGAGTTATTAAACCCTTTTTAAGCTCATGCCGTGTCAAAGTACCACAGAAAAATTTCAATGAAATGGTTTCACGAAATTTATTCAATTTTCTTTATTGTGGAATATTATTGAGCAATAGAAATTCATGTTATCAGAAGATTTCCTGCGAATAAAAATGTAGAAAAAGAAACATAATATTTACTCAAGAGTCAACATGTAACAAAAAGTGACGAAGACATAAAATTTGAAACTTGAAAATTGAGGGACCCAATTAAAATTTTACGGAATGTTCAATTACCCAATTGTGTTTCCACCTCGCTTCGCTTCCATAGAAGGAAAAATGGAGTGCGCCGGAAGGGGAAGCCGAAACCCGTGCTCGGGCCCGGCCACCAGACCCTGCAGTCGCTGCGGAGTCGTTGCCTATTGCTCCATTTCTCACCAGGTCTTTTCCACATACGTACATACATACATCATGTACTCTGCGCAAAGCGATCGTGTGCTTTTTTTCTTTTTCTCCTGTAGTTAGATGTATTTATTTAAGTTCTTACAGGTTTCCCATTGGAGTGTGCATAAGAAAGAGTGTGAAAGATTACAACAGCAAATGAAGCGTGCTAATGTCTTGAGTGATTTCCCTTTCCAATTTACTCAAGAGGTTCAGGTTTTTAATCGTTTAACTTATTTAAATTGATTAATTTTATACTAATCAAGTCATTCTCAGGGGCTTAATTAGGTGAAATTTTGTTGATTTTGGTTAGATGTGTGAAAAGCGGGAGGTGCGTTGTTCATTGTTAATAAAAAATGGAATTCACCGAACAGGAATGTGGATGTGTGAATGTAGTTGCGAGAGATCAGCTACTCCTGATCATTCTGGGTATTTTGCTGATTTTTCCAATTTAATGCTATTTTTACTCAATTGTTTGTACTGTGAGCATCTTTCGCTGAGCTTTATAAAAGCAGACTTTTTGTTTCTATACATGTTTGAATATGTTACATTTTGGGATCATTTTGGTCACACTGCTTATAGATTTTTAGTAGGTTACCTGAAGGTTGGAATCTTCCAAGTGCATTATGCCCTTGCAAAGGTGTTATTATTTCTGGAATCTGATTTTTTCATCCCAATACATCCTAGGTAACAAGATTTGTAACTACATAATAATCATGCAGGGCCTTCTTCTCCAATACCCGAACTAACAAGTTGGAAAGATTACTATGAATGGAGGTGCATCCCACTTTGTTCTCCTGCTGCTTTACTTCTTCACTGGGTATGTTATGTATAAATGCACGTGAATCCCTAAAATTTTGGTCTTTGTATAACCTTCAATTTTGTCTTATATTCAGTTATGTATACACGTACTCTATTTTACATTTTGTTGACTTAAATACATGAGTAAGGAGCTCTCAAATTTATTTTTTTAGAAACAATCTCCTTTTGATATTTATCAAGCTCTGGAGAAATATATATTGCAATGAATTTTGCATGTATATTTTGGTAAAAAATGATTGCAGGCTGTACGTACTGTTTATGTTGTTTGTTGTTCCAGCCACTCACAATATATTGGGCTATTCGGCTTGCAACTCTTAAAAGCTTGATTCCTGCAATCGGTAAAGAACTGCGCATACATTACTTAGGTATGTTGTCTTCTTCACATTTATGCGTAGTTGTGTTCCAATAGTATTTGTGTTCCAAAATTTAGTCTGTTTCCTGGTCAAGATCTTTCTCATTCCACAAATTCATGACATGTGCTACGTATGTAATCGTGGTTATCTCAGTCCCGTAGCCACGTTTTATTGGGGCGCCTAAATTTAAATGCATTTTATGAGCATGTTGGTTTTCTTCATTTATTGACAGCATTATAGTTTTGCCTAAAGAGAACTTCTGATTTTCGACATGATTACAGAGACTCTTTGCCCTGACTGGGTTGCTTTTAGTATTAAGTGGTACAAATTTTTATCTTGTCTTGAGCTGGAGTTGGAATCTGATGTGCCTAGCGAACCTCTTTATATTATTTATTTCAACATTTTATAACAAAAGTACTTCAGAAAATAGCAGCGAGTGGAAAATATAATATCATTTATACTTAACATGCGAATAAATCTTGCATCTGAAACGTATGATACTGATAAAGCGAATAGACAATCATGTTAGTGATTACGTTTGGAAATTGGAAATATACTATAAAAAACCCCCTACAACTTCATATGCAGAAGAAATCTTGTACATATGCCTCACTGATATCACAACCTTTACTTGATGTGTTGATATTTCCTATATTCCCCTCCAAGTTGCTATTGGCATTCCAACCCCCC